ATTTTAAAAGTCAGCAGCTACAGTTTTTGCAGCTGCTGACTTTTATGTATTTTTTTTCAGGTGGAACTCCGCTTTAACTGCTCTTTGTGAAGCTACGTGTGAACAGCAGCAGCCACTGTCAGCCTGTCATTACTTTATAGTGCTGCTATTTCTATGCCCCGATCATTCCTCTGATTCCTGCCGCTGGAATCCGGTGGCTGGATGTGTGAATGAGGCCTAAATGTTCATTCTATTTAAAATAATTGGTTTATAGTAGATTATGTGTAGAAATTTTACTTGAAAATAACCTTTGTTCTTTCTTTGTTCATTCTGCCATGTATAATCAACTTGCATCACCTTTATGGAGCTCTTATGTATAAAGCTTGCATACAGAGTAAGAAAAAAAGTTTCATTATCTTTGCTACTGAAAGTGCCTCAATACCCTTTGAAACCAAAGTAGGAACTTTGGGCATGCAGAGCATGTCATAGCTGGAGGTTTGTAAGCATTTGATTTAGTAGCTTGAAATGTGGTTTCAGATCTTCAAAATGTAGCCGAATGCATCAGAGGCAATGTTGATGAAGGTTTTCACTCCAAATAGTGTCCACAAATGCAAGCCCAGAAAATACAAGGCCATTTAGCATTTTCCTATAGGGTAATATATGGTGACACCTGCTGATATGGAACCACCTATAATTGGTCCTTGTAGAATAAAGCAGTATTAAACCCAAAAGCAAACATTTATTATATTCCAGATCACAAATTCTTAGATGTGATAGCTGCATTAGTTTTCTTTTTAGACATTTGTTCCTTTATTGTCACCTGGTGATCTAGCCAAGTCTATTGCTTTTTAACAGAACATGCTGTCCTACAGATGTAGCAATTAGAGGTCTGAGACAAACCCTCTAACATTGACAGGGGTGCTTAAAATGGTCATTTTAATTTATTTATGTAAAAACTTTATCCCGAAAAGGAACAAAACAGTTGTTGAAACTGCTTAAAAAGTATCAGCTAGTTTGGCTTGGATTTGTTAGTGTATTCAAATCTGCTAGTGCATCTAGCACAACCCTCCTCTCATACTGACAATGCTGCTGCTCAAAGGTGTCTCTATTGCTCCTCCAGAAGTGTTTGCACTCTAATACAGGTGGTATGTTACTGGCCAGATTACCAAGTGAAAAAAAGGAAAAATGCCTAAAAAAAGAAAACAAATGCAGCCACCACATCTAATGATTGGTTACCTGCAATATACTGTACTATGCAATTGGTTTTGGGTGTAATACTGCTTTAAGATGCTTGGAAGGACAACTTCCTTGCAACTAAGAAGTTAGTAACATCTCAAGACTGGGGCCTCCACTGAGTGCATTTTCAATTTTTACCCAACTTTTCCCCTCTAAATTAAACGTCCAATCAAAAATTCTCCCTAGTATTACTGCTTTGTAATATCTCTTAATATCTGGTACTCCCAAACCACCCTTCTCTTTGTCTCTACTCAATATTTCATGAGACACTCTCGGTTTTTTATTCCTCCAGATATATCTTGTTATCATTCTTTTTATTACCTTGAAAAAAGCTTCTGGGAGTTTAATTGGGATCATTTGAAATCTGTATAAGATTTTAGGTACAATTATCATTTTTTACCAGGTTTATACATCCTGTCCATGATGTAATTCCTCTTTCTAAATGTTTTAATTCCTCCTTAACTTCGTTTAATAATGATATATAGTTTAGTTTATACAGATACTTATATGCAGCCTTTAGTCTTACTCCTAAATATTTTATATCTCTTTCTTTCCATTTGAAGGGGTATTCCTTTTGTATTTTCTCTTTTTCACTTTTTGGAATATTTATATTTAGGATCTCAGTTTTTGTTGGATTCATTTTTAAATTTGATAATTCCTCATATTTCTTCAGCGCTTTCATTAAGTTTGGGAGTGTTATCCTGGGATTCCCCACATAAAATAACAAATCATTTTAAAAGGCCGCGACTTTGTGCTCTATAGCTTCTATCTGGATTCCTTTTATATCTATATTCTTCCTTATTGTGGACAACAAGGGCTCCAGTGACATAACATACAACAGGGGGGACAGTGGGCAGCCCTGTCTTGTTCCATTTGACATCTCAATGGGCTCTGTTCTTTCCCCATTTACTACAATAACTGCGGAGGGCCGCCTATACAACTTTCTAATCCATTCCCTCATTCTAACTCCAATTCCCAGGGCTTCTAAGGTGTCCATCATGAAGCCCCAGTTTACTCTATCAAAGGCCTTTTCTGCATTGATCGATAGAACCACCGCTGGTACCTCCACTTTTCTACTTTTCTGAATAAAAATTGAAAATGCACTTAGTGGAGTTAATTTGAATAGAATCATTTGGTTACCTGCACAATATAGAAGATTAAAAGTGGATGTAAGCATATATACTTTAAATGTATTAAGGGAATGGGATAAAGTACACAAATATATGAAGTGGGAGTTTAATTCTATATTAATGCCACTAAGAAACACAGAACTTTTTCCCCCAGGTAGAGAGGAGATAACAGGTAGATGGTTTAAAAAGGAAGATATTCAACTGAGAGATATAATGGGGGAGGGGAAATTGAAGCCATTTAAAGAGCTGGTAAGGGAAAAGGGAGAGATTTTTTCTAGGTTTGATGAGTGGCGTTATCATCAATTAAAATGTTTTGTGGGAAATCTCCCAAAACCTCTAAGAATGAAAAAGGATTGGAATTTGTTTGAAAGGTTGATGGATTCACAGGTGGATGGGAAACACGGCACGTCTAAAATATATAGAATTTGTCAGGGCTCCGGGAATGACCAGAGGTGTGTGGACCGACACAGGGAAACACAGACTTCAGGTATAGCGTGTAAACAAGATAATTTATTAAGGACAACACAAACATAAACGCAGTGCAACAAACCAAACCCAAAACTAACACAAATACATACAACAAGGTGAAACAAACCCAAACCTAAACTGATATATATATATGTATATATATATATATATTGCAAGAAAAAGTAGTCAGGCGGGCCGGGTCAGTAGCATAATTGGCAAAAAAGGCTCTGAACGTCATGTAAGTCACAACAATAGAAGAACACAGTCTGCTGAACAGGATACTACACAAACATTAGATGTTGCAGGTTTAATTGCACATAACATTAAACATTCAGTGCAGGATCAAAAAAGATGTGAGCAGGCTTCTCCCAGAGAATTGCAGACAGGATGAGCAACCTTGACTCCACAGTGTGATGGCTCGATGTGTTGCTGAAATGTCCTGCACCAAGGCACACATCACAGTGCCTGGTCCTGGTTTCAAGATACACCTCCTGATGTGAACCATGCCTCAGCAGAAAAGAGCTGAGGACCTACGATTGCAGGATGTGAGACTTGCTGGCTGCTGAAAGGGCACCCGTATGGCCAAAAGCCTTGAGTTCATGTGTCCTTGGTAAGACAGACTGTCTACAAATGGAGACCAAGCACAGTTGCTACTCTCCCTAGGTGTGGTCGTCCTGATAAAAATGACTGCAAGAGCACAGCGCAGAATGCCATGAGGTAAAGAAGAATCCCAGAGTGTCAGCTAAAGACCTACAGAAATCTCTGGCACCCCTGCTAACATTTTTGTTGACACATCTACCATCAAGGGAGTACATGGCACTCACGGAGGAAGCCATCCCAAAAAGTCCACGTCTGAAGTTTTCAAAAGAGCACCTGGATGTTCCACAGCACTACTGGTCAAAATATACTGTGGACAGATGAAACCAAGATTGAGTTGTTTGGGAAGAACACACAACACTATGTTTGGCAGAAAAAAAGGCACAGCACACCAACATCAAAACCTGGGCCCCACTGTGAAACATGGCGGAGGGAGCATCATGGTTTGGGGCTGCTTTGCTCCTCAGGGCCTGGACGGATTGTTGTCATTGATGGGAAAATGAATTCCAGAGTTTATCAAGACATTTTGCAGGAAAACGTATCCATCTGTCCGCCAACTGAAGCTTCGCAGAGGATGGGTGATGCAACAGGACAATGACCCAAAGCAAACAAGTAATTCAACAAAACAATAGCTGCAACAACACAGGAATACGCCTTCTGGAGTGGCCCAGTCAGAGTCCTGACCTCAACCCGATTGAAATGCTGTGGCTGACCTTACAGAGCGATTCACACCAGACATCCCAAGAATCTTGCTACACTGAAACAGTTTTGTGAAGAGGAGTGGTCCAAAATGACTCCAGATCGTTGTGCAGGTCTGATCTGCAACTACAGGAAACGTTTGGTGAGGTATTGCTGCCAAAGGAGGGTCAACCAGTTATTAAGTGGTTCACATACTTTTTCCTCCCTGCACTGTGAATGTTTACATTGTGCAATTAAACCATGGCAACATCTAATGTTTGTGTTATTATGTTCAGAGACTGTGTTCTTCTATTGTTGTGACTTAGATGACGTTCGGCACATTTTATGCCCAATGTGCAAAACTCCATGTAATCCCAAGGGGTTCACATACTTTTTCTTGCAACTGTATATATGGAGCACAACGTAGTCAGGCGGGCCGGGGGTCAGTAGCTAATGGGCAAACAAGGTACCAGGAGCGAGCGGAAGAGTGGTCAGGAATAGCCGAGGTCAGGAGAGGCGGAGTTGTTCAGAGTCAGGATCAAAGCAGGATCAGGCAGGAAGCAGGGGATGCAGGTACAGGGGCTCGTGGGAAATGTACACCAAGGCACTGATCACAGGCCTGGTCCTGCTTAAATACACCTCCTGCAATCAGCCTCAGGTGGGCCTGATGCAGGAGTGAGATTCTGGCTGCTGAGCACCCGCTGGCCACCTTAGGTACTGCACCCCCAAGGCAGGTGAGTCCCACCACCATTGGCGAGTCCATTCCTGACAGTACCCCCCTCAAGGAGCGGCCTCAGGACGCTCCAAACAGTCCTTAGTGGGCAAAATGTTCCACCCACTAGCCCGGGTCAGGTAACTGGCAGGATATCAGGGGCTGGCACATCAGGCTGGGCAGCGGACAGAGGCACATCAGGCTGGGCAGCGGACAGAGGCACATCAGGCTGGGCAGCGGACAGAGGCACATCAGGCTGGGCAGCGGACAGAGGCACATCAAGCTGGGCAGTGGACAGAGGCACATCAGGCTGGGCAGCGGACAGAGGCACATCAGGCGGAGCAGCGGGCACCGGCCATCAGGCGGAGCAGTGGGCACCGGGCCATCAGGCGAGGCAGCAGGCACCGAGTCATCTGGCAGAACAGCGGACACCGGGTCACCAAACTCGACAGCGGGCACCGAGTCACCTGGCACGACAGCGGGCACCGAGTCACCTGGCACGACAGCAGGCACTGAGTCATCTGGCAGAACAGCGGGCACTGAGTCATCTGGCATGACAGCGGGCACCGAGTCATCTGGCACGACAGCGGGCACCGAGTCATCTGGCATGACAGCGGGCACTGAGTCATCTGCCCGGACAGCGGGCACCGAGTCATCTGGCCGAACAGCGGGCACCGAGTCATCTGGCACAACAGCGGGCACCGAGTCATCTGCACAACAGCGGGCACCGAGTCATCTGCCCGAACAGCGGGCACCGAGTCATCTGGCCGAACAGCGGGCACCGAGTCATCTGGCCGAACAGCGGGCACCGAGTCACCTGGCACGACAGCGGCCACCGAATCATCTGGCATGACAGCGGGCACTGAGTCATCTGCCCCCGGACAGCGGGCACCGAGTCATCTGGCCAAACAGCGGGCACCGAGTCATCTGGCCGAACAGCGGGCACCGAGTCATCTGGCACAACAGCGGGCACCGAGTCATCTGCCCGGACAGCGGGCACCGAGTCATCTGGCCGAACAGCGGGCACCGAGTCATCTGGCCGAACAGCGGGCACCGAGTCATCTGGCACGAACAGCGGGCCACCGAGTCATCTGGCACGACAGCGGGCACCGAGTCATCTGGCATGACAGCAGGCACCGAGTCATCTGGCATGACAGCAGGCACCGAGTCATCTAGCCGGACAGCGGGCACCGGGTCATCTAAGCTCGACAGCGGGCGCCGAGTCATCTGGCACGACAGTGGGCACCGAGTCACAAAGCTCGACAGCGGGCGCCGAGTCATCTGGCACGACAGCGGGCACCGAGTCATCTGGCATGACAGCGGGCACCGAGTCATCTGGCATGACAGCGGGCACCGAGTCATCTGGCTGGATCGGGTCATCAGGCCGGATCGGGCCATCAGGCTGGGTAGCGGGCACCAGATCATCAAGCTGGATCGGGTCATCAGGCTGGATCGGGTCATCAAGCTGGATAGGATCATCAGGCCGGATCGGGTCATCAGGCCGGATCGGGCCATCAGGCTGGATCGGGTCATCAGGCTGGATCGGGTCATCAGGCTGGGTAGTGTACACCAGATCATCAAGCTGGATAGGATCATAAGGCTGAATCGGGTCATCAGGCCGGATCAGGCCATCAGGCTGGATCGGGCCATCAAGCTGGGTAGCGGGCACCAGATCATCAAGCTGGATAGGATCATCAGGCTGGGTAGGATCATCAGGCTGGGTAGGATCATCAGGCTGGATCGGGCCATCAGGTTGGGTAGCGGGCACCAGATCATCAAGCTGGATAGGATCATCAGGCTGGGTAGGCTCATCAGGCTGGATCGGGCCATCAGGCTGGGTAGCGGGCACCAGATCATCAAGCTGGATAGGATCATCAGGCTGGGTAGGATCATCAGGCCGGATTGGGTCATCAGGCCGGATCGTTTCATCAGGCCGGATCGGGTCATCAGGCTGGGTAGCGTACACTGGGTCATCAGGCATCAGGGCATCAGGCTGAACAACGGAAGGCGGGTTCACAGACGGCAGGCTGACCGGTTTGGATACTGGTAGGATGGTATTGGTTGGAAAGAATTTTCGCTTCTTCTTGGGTTTAGTTACTGGGGCACTGCAAGTAAATGCAGGTCTGTAAATGGAGGGAGTAGCTGGAGACAGAGAAGAGCTGGAGGATGGAACAGAGGAGGGAATAGTTGCTACAGCAGCCTTTTTTACAGGGTTAAAGGCAGGATAGGTGCAGCGAGTGGGAACAGGGTACTGACATGTGGTAGATAACAGGGTATATTGGGCTGTCACTGGGGGTGCTGTCAGGAATGCAGGAGTAGAGCTTTGAGCAGAGGAATGATTGGAAGCAGGACTGGTTTGTTGCAAGCTGCCTGAGGCTGGGTGTAACAAGTCTGACCAGGACTGTAGTATTGGTTGAACAAAACTCAGCTTATACAAAGCATGTCTGACCAAAGACTGCACTGCGTTTATACAGTCCACTAGCACATGTAGTGAACATGCTGAATAATGCTCCCAGAAGCAATCCGGATCATCCTCCAACAACCATACCAGTGATTCTATTTGATCCATACTGAATGGTGGAAGAAAGTCATCCCTGCTTTCAGGGGTACTAGATGAAGCCAACTCAACACAAGCCTGAATCAATGGTTGCACCTCAGAGAACTCCGTGCCCTGATCTACTAGGGAATGAGCAACCCGTATGCACTCTAGCAGCTGATCCCTGGCATACTCCTGCAAAGTCTGATAGGCATATTCTCTGTCATCTAAGACTAGCAGATACAAGTATATAACCTCCTACGGATGCATCTTTCACAATTTCACAACAAGGCAAGATGGCTTCCCTGTGCAGCCACTTCTGGTCAGGAATGGCCTTGGTGTAATGTCAGGGCTCTGGGAATGACCAAAGGTGTGTGGACCGACACAGGGAAACACAGACTTCAGGTATAGCGTGGTATAGCGTGGTATAGGTATAGGACAACACAAACATAAATGCAGTGCAACAAACCAAACCCAAAACTAACACAAATACATACAACAAGGTGAAACAAACCCAAACCTAAACTGATAAATATATATATATATATATATATGTATATATATATATGGAGCACAGCGTAGTCAGGCGGGCCGGGTCGGTAGCTAACGGGCAAACAAGGTACCAGGAGCGAGCGGAAGAGTGGTCAGGAATAGCCGAGGTCAGGACAGGCGGAGTTCGTTCAGAGTCAGGATCAAAGCAGGATCAGGCAGGAAGCAGACAGGATGCTGGTACAGGGGCTCATGGGAAACATACACCAAGGCCCTGATCACAGGCCTGGTCCTGCTTAAATACACCTCCTGCAATCAGCCTCAGGTGGTGGCCTGATTGCAGGAGTGAGATTCTGGCTGCTGAGAGCACCCACTGGCCAGCCTTGCTACTGCAGCCCACAAGGCAGGTGAGTCCCACCACCATTGGCGAGTCCATTCCTGACAGAATTCTTACAGAATTAGACACAAACACAAAACCAATGCACATAGTGAAATGGGAAAGAGATATGGGGGTGGTATTAGATGAGGATAAACAGAAGAAAATAAATAGATTAGTTCACGAAAATGTAGGTTTGAGGGATGTAGAAATAAATTATAAATGATAAGATGGCACATTACACCAAGTGTTGAAAATAAGATATGTGGAGAGAAGTCACCATGGTGTTGCAGGGGGTATGGAGAGTTAGGGACAGTGTACCACATCTGGTGGGAATGTCCAAAAATTCAGGTATTCTGGAAAACAATAGTACATTTAATTGAGATCATAACTGAGATTAATATTGGGTTAGACCCAGGGATTTGTTTGCTACATAGCTCAGAGATATCAGTTAGCAAATATAAGAATTTAGGTTTAGGGTATTATTTAAATGGCGTAAAAAGTCTTATCCCTAAATATTGGAGAAAAACAGAAGTACCAAAAGAGGAGGATTGGATAGAAAGAATAAACTGGATTAGTAAAATGGAGAAGCTCTATTATTTGCAGGAAGATAAGATGGAGATATACCATGCGAAATGGGAAAAATAGGAAAATTCTTGAGTAAACACGAAAAAGTGAAATGTAGAAGGATATAGAGAGGGTGGAAGGGTAGGATATCCTTGCTTTAGAAGAGAGGTTGGGAAAGATTGCAGAGTGGGTGATTGGGGGGGGGGGGGGGGGGGAAAGAGGATGGGTGGGTGGGGGGGGGGGGGGAAAGGGGGGGGAAGAGGGAAATGTTTTAGAGGGAAAAAGAAAAGTAATAAAAGATAGTTATGTATATTTATCGTGAATATGATGAAAGTGTTTGTAATTACTTTGAAAAATTAATAAATACTTAAATAAAAAAAAAAAAAAAAAAGACTGGGGCTTCCAGATTTCTCACTGGGTTGAACCACAAGCAGGGGCGGACTGACCATTTGGGAACTCGGGAACTGCCCGAGGGCCAGGGGTCAGTAGGGGGCCCCATGAGATTCCCCTGGTACATTTCATAGGCTTTTTTGGGTGTGGTTTAAGTGTGGGCGAGGACACAGGGGCCCCATGATCCCCTATTGCCCGGGGGCCCCATGAGGTGTCAGTCTGCCCCTGACCACAAGCATTCATTAGCATGGCAGCCCAGAAATAATACAGACAGTAAACTAAGGCCAGGTATCTGTTATTGATTTCAAGCCATTCATGGGGTCTACTCAGTTCACATAGATGGACAAAAATAAGTTTTCTGTCTGTGTCCTAAAAAAAAAGAAAACAAACCAGATCATAACAGTGCATTTTTGGAAGAAGATTTTGATCACTGTTTGAAGGTTTAAATGAGTTTACTGTTTAATACAATTATTACTATTGGATGTTTAAAGTTCTCATCTTATTGAAAGCATGTCAGTCTGGCTTAGAGTTTATGGGAAAAATATTAGGCCTTGGTATTGGCTTGGATAAAAGTCGAGGTTAGGTGTACAACCAGGGTTTGGGACCTAAGGGGGCTTTAAAGGGACCCATAAGCTGATTTGAATATTCAAGCTGGTACTATTGGACATTTGTGTCTGCATTTTAGAACTTTTAGCATGTGCACTCTTAAGGGCAAGCATACGTAGTCATCCTTTGAGAGGTGGAGATCTATCTGGACAACATAGAAGAGCGTAAAGGTCACCGGGCGTGGCACCCTTTTTTAAAAAGAAATTTAGTAGCAAGGATAGCATGAAGGAAACTTGTAAAAATATAATAAAATAAATGTCACTGAGCTGACTTGCTTGACTAGTTTCAAGCCTGGCTGACCTCAGTTCTGGACTGGCAGTCTGCTCTGAGTTCTGGCCTGACTGGCTGGGTTGAGTTCTAGCCAGTGTAAATAGTATGAAGGGCAGTGTTTAGGGGTCAATAATACAATGTATGTACGGCAATGTTCAGATGTCAGTAGGATGTAGAGGCATTGTGCAGGGGTCTTTAGAATGTAGGGCAGTGTACAAGGGTCATGAGTATGTAGGACAGTGTACAGGGGTCAGTAGTATGTAGGGCAGTGGTCAAAGGTCAGTAGTTTGTAGGGCAGAGTACAGGGGTTAGTAGTTTGTAGGGCAGAGCACAGGAGTCAGTATCTTGCAGTGCAGAATACATGGCACAGCAGTTAGTGCAGCAGTGTGCAGGGGTCATCAGTTTATAGACCAGAGTAAAGGGGTCCATAGTTTGTAGGGCAGAGTGCAGGGTTCAGCAATTTGTAGGGCAGAATATAGGGTTCAGCAGTTTCCAGGGCAATGTACATAGGGGTGCAGAGGTCATTAGCTTTTACGCCACAGTATAAGTGTCAACAGGGCAGAATTTAAATAAGTTTCAGCAGTTTGCATAGTAAACAGAGAAGTGTGATTCATCACTCCAGAGAACACATCTCCACTGCTCTAGAGTCCAGTGGTGGCGTGCTTTACACCACTGCATCCGCCACTTTGCATTGCTCTTGGTGAAGTAAGGCTTGGATGCATCTGCAGTCTGTAAAGGGTAGAGTAGTTTAGCAAAATGTATCATCTTTTTCAAATAGCACCTACCCATCAATGAAATTAGGAGGTCATTCCAGGACTGTAGATCAGTGATTCTCTTATTGATATGAGGGAATATAATTAATGGCTGCAGGTCATGATTGTTTCTAGGTTAAGGAATCCCAAGGTAACCTATGTGGTTATGCTGAACGTGTAAACTGTTTTGTCAACCTTTCTTGTTTTTCTTTCTAACATATTCTAAGCAGGCTAACCCAAAGAAGGAATCTCTGTGTCTCCAAACCTTATTCTTTTTTTTCACTAGTATGTGAATAAATATGATCATTATTTATTCTGTAATAAAAAAAATGACTGGATGGCACTTTTCATTCTAATAAAATAGCATTAAAGTGGTATTAAACCCAAAAGCAAACATTTATTATATTGCAGTTTACCAATTCTTAAATGTGATGGCTGCATTCATTTCCTTTTTAGGCTTTCTTTACCTTATTTTCATATGGCGACCTGGCCAGTAAGTCTGTTGGTTTTATATTTTAGTTGGTTA